TTCACTGATCAATATCTGATTCATTGGCCCATAAAAATTGATCATTCTATAAGATTTTATTGGTTGGTAGATTGAATTGCTAGAGAGTTGATTTTCATATGAACCGATAAGCCCAACGTCGCATTCGTTCACAGGTAGGTAATCAAAACTTCAAAATGCTAATAAAAAGCACGATTTGGAGTGTGCTGTGTGCATGTGATATGCATCGCAGGTTGATGAACTGGTGATGTCATATTATATGTGACAATCCATTATTCTCACGGTCAACCGTATGATGTTTGCTATATTACAATTTACTTTATCATTTATCAACATTCAGTTTTTATTACCAAATTTATCAATATTCAATTTTTTGCATTCTCTATTATCAATCAGCATTTTTATCGACATTCATCAGTGCTATTGCATTCTCGATCGTGCTCAGTTCCACGAAGGCGTCCAGCTGAATCGTCCGTCGTTTTCCTCATCCTGGATCATAACTTTAGCACTGAACAGCTATGACAGTTGTTGGTGAATTTTGGAATTTACAGGATAGATGGCATTCGCAAGTGTTTATTCGTACGAATTTCTTCAGATTCAACTTCATAATGATGCACAATTTTCATCTTTTTTTTGGGCAGCAATATGAAGTTTTTGTAATGCCATATTAGTTTTTGCAGCTTTCATACAGTTTCAAAGCTTTTTGCCCTTTTTTGACAGCTCATTCTTCATCACTTTTTTTCATAATTTTTTTAAAACCATTTGTATCACATCAATAAAAGGGTAGCCTCTCATTGTTTAGCACCTAATCTTGAGCTGGTTATTTCTCCGCATTTGTTAGCAATCAGTGCAATGGGTTGACAATTTTAAATTTGAACTTGAGTTCAGCCAAAGAACATTTCGGTTTAAAGGATGGATTCATTTCCGCGAAACTGTTGGTGAACTTGTTTCTGCAAAAAGCGTCTGGATTTTGGAGATTGTGGAGCGATACTTTCGGAATCGTTAATTGAATATTCATTTTTCGAATGGTTTTGCGAAAAATTGCTGAAGAAAGAAAGAAAATCGGATGGGAATTGACTTTATCTGCTATTTCGCTCGCCTAATCCGAATGAAATGATTTTCGTGGGTAAACAGTCTTCGTGATAAGAGTGAAAGAATTCTTCAAGGAAGGCTTTCCTTGATAACAACCCTGTGATAACCACTGTAAAGTACTCTTTTTTCCTCCTTTATGAACGAGTGCATACTGAGAATGATAATGGTATCAAGTAATGAGTTAACAGTTATTATCGTTATCAAGGAATTGTTTTGGTGGTCGATCTGTGGTCATTATCAGCCGTAAATACCGGAGAAAATTGAATGGGACTGATGAAGGTGTCACTTGTTAATACTGATACTTTGTAGTAGCTAGACAAATAGTTGATGTTTAGGAAGATACATATCAAAGATACTTATACTTTATACTGCTTCTTTGCACACAATTATTTAATACCTAGTTATTGCGAGCACTTCAAGCAGTTATGAGTATTGGCAATATAATAAACGCTCTGATAAGATGTTGTGTGTTGATATCTTAATGTATACTGTAACTGGTTATCACTCCCATTTGATTATGTTCATGTGAAGCATGCAAGTTTCTTCATACAGCGTTACTGGTTTCTCCAGATCTCAGGATTGATTACGTGTTTGCGCGTCAATTGAAGTTTACACGATTTGTTGATGTCTTAGGATCGATCTCATCAGAATTTACTCATAAAGAGCTAACTGCAGTCAGTTGATGATTTTAGGTCAATAAACCCGAATCTAAAACTCCTGAAGTGAAAACCACTCGCATNTATATTCATTGTGGAAGCATCAGTGATTCTCTGTTTGCTTTTTTTCGTTTGCTTCATTTATTTTCTGGTTATTTTGAAGAATGAAGTGGAAATGGTCGCCTGAGTTTTAGTACTTCGAAGAAATTCTATTCGATGGCACGATACCTGAAGGTGGTGGTGTTCAACAGCAGTCCCAACAGCAACAATTCTCTACTCTAAGACCGCAATCTGAATCAAGTGTTTGGCCAGACCAATGCGTCGAGACCGTGCCACTGGTATCTTATAAACATCCAGTAAACTGATGATTATGTGTAACTATAATGATAATAACGGCAAAAGCGCTAGTGAAGCTGTTTACTCGTTTATTAATAATAACATAAGCATTAAGATGTCTAAATTTATCTTCTGTTGACTTTAAACTTTAATTTTTTTGACCTTTCGATCGACATTGAATCGTTCATGATAATCATTGAAACAAGCCGATTTTAGGCCTCCCCGTGCCGTGTTCGTTGCCGATCCACCTCGGCCGCACAGTTGGTTTATTGTTGCACCGCGAACGCCGGTGACGAGTGGTGTTCCTTTACACCAACGGGCCAATCCGTACAGTGCTTTAAACGAGCGGGCCAATCCGTACAGTGCTTTATTAAACAGGGCGACTACCAACCATCCGCCACCAGCCTATGTGCCGAGCCCGAGTGTTGCTTTATGCAGGTAGGTTGGCGTTTGATTCGTTTCTGGGTATCTCCAATCAACTCCACTCATTCAATAATCGCTCCATATGAAAGATGTCCTGAATATCTCATAAAGCAGAAAATCATTGGTTTGGAGAAGGAGTTAATGCGATTGATAATTTTCGAAGACTGAAGTGTTAACCTGATTGCAGCAGTCTGAAGCGACCAATTGCGGTTGCCTCGAGTCGCGTGAAAACTGTGCCTCACGACAGCGACTTCTCGCATCCTCCAAGGCATGTTTTCAGTTCTTGCGGTCGTCGTCAGTCCAGTTTGAATGTCCATATACTCTACCTCTCATTGTTCCAAGCAGACCTCTTTGCAAAACTTCCACAACAATGCAATCTTAAGAGTAGTTGGACAGTGAGCACGGAAGTTACCGTGTTCAAATACTGAACTTGCAATGGAGGTTTTCGGAATTCCACTTTCGAAAAGTTATTTCTCTATGGAATGATAGCATTTTTAGCCTTGACTAATAAAACGATTTGATATCGAATGAATAAAAAAGCTCAAAAAGTAGAGCATAAAAATGCCGCTTTATAACTCAAAAAGCATGAAACAAGTCTCTAGTTGGCGTATTTATGAGTAGAACGTCAAAAAAAAAAACTGTGGATGACCCTCACTTCTACGGCTAATGTTTCGATTTAAACCCAAGACTAGTCTCAGTCGCAGAGTAAAACTGGGTTAAGCTCTGTGTTGAACATCCCCCTTAGTTAATGGTTTGTGTATAGTCTGGCAAGATGGATGCAATTAACGAAATTTTGTGGCTCTAAACATATTGAAGTGCGTGCATGATTGATAGTTTCATGTGCTGCGCATGCATTAGAATTTGTCGATGACATTCGTACATGTGACTGATCAGTGGATTTTTGACATAGTAATAAGTGGATCATGCTTTAATCCTAGTAATATTCTATTCCTGAATAGTTTCAGATCATGTCAGTCGGCCTCGAAAAGTGTTTTGTTGGCAGCGGATGTGAATGCTCGATTGTCAGCCTCACGTGCTGTGAAACTGTGCGTTTTCTCGATTCTTTGATGCTGACAATTTTGTTCAAACAAAAAATTTGACGAAATGAACGAAATGTATTGATAAATCATAATTTTAATGATAAATCATTACTTGTTTAATCATTGAATAATTTAATATCGCTCTGATAACTTTTTTAAAGTGGCAGTTTTTCGAATGGAATTCGGACGTAATCAGCATTCCATCCTTGCAAATTCTTGCAAATGAGCAAATGATTAATCATTCGATTCCGTTTGAGAATGAAGTTGAACGTATATTTGGTATCTGTTTCCAGGGTGCCACACAAATCACAGAATGTGTTCATCAGTAGTGAGCAA